GATTTGTGTCAAATAAAATTTATTCAGTGTTGGCCATAGTCAAAAAATTTAAAAATTTTAAACTTTGCCAATTTTTTTTTTTTTGCCTTTGCCTTTGCCAATTTATTGTTCCTGTAAGCAAATGGATGGGAAAAAGCAAGAGATTTAAAAAAAATTCGAAAGACGACTAAAAAATTTGAAACGAACCTTTTCTGGGATTATTTCTTTAAGTTTGTTAAATTAACATCTAACATGCGAAAATATTTTCTTTTTTATTAAAGAAAAGTTGTTATATGATTTTTCATTAATGGAAAAATATGATGTAATAATTGACTTGTGTTATTATATAATTGAATACAGTTACTTAATTAAAGTTCACATGCAGTTCAAAAGGTAATTAGTCATTACCGTTGTCATTAGAAGTCGAATATCCTCCTACTGTCATGACTCAACAGTTTTTTGCTCTAACGCTTGTTTAATGTAAAGTCTATTTTAATTTATTTATTCAGTTTTGAAGAACGAGCTGCATAATAACGTCTTTTTTTATTCACAGGTATACTCATAAATGTGTTTTAATTTTTATTTCATAGAAAAAAAAACGAATAAGAAAAGAAAAAGAAAAAGTGCTAATTGACTCTAAACGGATTAATTACAATTACAAAAAACTTTGATTTTCATTTACTTACAAGTTTTTTTTTGATATTTTTTTAAAAAATTATTGTTTGGTATTTTGAAAATATTACACACGAAAAAGTTGGTTCGAAAAAATTGAATACAATATTTCAATAAAAATTATTGTTTTTAATTCAGTTTCATATTTTTTTTTTCGTAAAAATGCTTTGATGGTTGTAGTGCGTAAGGCATCAATTAGCATTAATACTCTCACTTTCTAATGGTGGTTGGTTCGAATCCCGGTGCGGCTATAAATTTTCTCACCTGATTTTTTCGCAAGTAATTTTCAATTGTCAAAAAATGAATTTTAACAAAAATCTGAATTTTATTTTATTAAATTGAATATTAATTTAATTAAAAATTAATTAATTAATTAATTAATTATCAATTTAATTAAAATATATTAAAACTTTTTATGATACTTTTTGTTAAAACCGTTTTTTGATTGTTTTTAATTAAAAAATAAATATAAATATAAAAAAATAATAAAATAAAAAAAAATATTAATATTAATAATAATAATTATTATTATTATTTATAATATTAATATTAAATATTTAAATATAAAAAGTAAAAAATTTAAAAGAAAAATGTTCTGTATTTGAATGAAAAAAATTAACAAGTAAGTAATAAAATAAATAAAGTTACATATTTTTGGTAGAGAATTAAAAAATATTTTATTAGTTAAAAAAAAATCTCCAGTATCTGACAAAGATTTAAAATAGAGAAAATCAAGGTTTGTTTAATAACGTATTGCTCAAGTAAATTAGTTTATTCAGAAGGGATTATCAATTAAGCTGATACTGTCCAGGTGAATATGTTTTTCGTTAGAATGAAAGCTATTGAACGACCGTTCAACATATAAATTATAAGTGTCAATGGTGGATTATTAATATTGGTCAAGAATAAAACGTGTTATTATCGCCTCTACGGTCGCGACGAGTCGGGCTGTAGCAAACGGTCGATGACTATCTGTCCCTTGCACTGTGTATGTCGACTAGACCCATCTCTTTAAAAAAAAAAAAAAAAATTCTACTTAAAATATATTTAAAATATTTTTTTCTCTATTTTTCTGACTTTAATAATATTTTATCCAATTTTTTTGCATTTTTACTATTAGTTTAATTTAGAAAACTTTCAATTTGTCAAACTTAAAATCTTAAAAAGAAGGGTAAAAGATAAATGAACCTTGGGTCACTATGGTCGAGAGGAAAATTACATGCACTGCAATTTTAACGTCCGGGGTTCGATTCCTCGCACTTGCAAGATTTTAAATTCGCTGATTTTTAAATTTTATTTAAAAGCATTTTATTATTTATGAAAATAATTGAATTCTTGCGAACGATTTTATTAGAAATTTTTTAAATAATTGAATTTCCAAGAATAAATTTATTACTTTTAAAAATAATTCAATTCTTGTGATGAATATTGTTATTTATAAAAATAATTAAATTTTGCAAAGAATTTTATTAAATGCCTCAAAATAATTGAATTTTCGGAAATAATTTTGTTATTTATCTTTAATAATTGAATTCTTTTAAAGAATTATTTATGTAAATAATTGAATTCTTGGGAAAAATTTTATTAAAATCTAAAAGAATAATTGAATTATTTAAAAAATTATTGAATTATTTCAATTCAAATATTTATGTAAATAATTGAATTCTTCCGAAGAATTTAAAAAAAAACAATTTTTTAAATATTTATAATTTTCTCGAGAAATTGAAATTACATTTTTAAGAATAATTACATTTTTTTCGCAATTTCTGTAAAATTGTATTAAAAATAATTAAAATCCTTCGATAAATTTTATTATTTATGAAAATAATTGAATAGTTGATAAGAATTTTATTAAATTTTTTAGAAAATAATTGAATTCCTATAAAGCAATTTACTATAATTATTGTATTCTTGCGAACGATTTTATTAGAATTTTTGAAAATAATTGAATTTCCAAAAAGAAATTTATTACTTTAAAAAAAATTCAATTCTTGCAAACGATTTTATTAGAATTTTTTAAAATAATTAAATTTACAAGAAGTAATTTATTTTTTATGAAAAAAATTGAATTCTTGAAATGAATTTTGCTATTTATGAAAATAATTGAATTTTGCAAAGAATTTTATTTAAATGCTTCAAAATAATTGAATTTTCAGGAATAATTTTGTTATTTATCTTTAATAATTGAATTCTTTCAAGAAATATTTATGTAAATAATTAAATTCTATTAAAATTGAATTTTATTAAAATCTGAAAGAATAATTCAATTATTTTAAAAAATTTAATTAAAGTTGTATTTGAAATAATTGATTTCTTTCAGAAGATGTTATTTAAATTTTTTTAAAAATAATTGAAATCCTTCGACGAATTTTATTATTTATGATAATAATTAAATAGTAGCAAAGAATTTTATTAAAATTTTCAATTATAATTAAATTTCTGAGAAGAATTTTATTATTTTTGAAAATATTTGAATTATTGCGAAAAATTTGAATAAACTGTTTATAAAAAGAATTGAATTTCTGTGAAAAATTTTGTTATTTTTGAAAATATAATTGAATTTTTCATAAAAATTTTATAAACATTATTTTAAATAATTAATTTTTTCGGAATATAATAAATAATATGAAAATTTTATTTTGAATAATTGAATTATTGTGGAAAACTTCATTTGTGTAAGTAATAGAATTTTTCGATTAATTAATTAAAAATTATTAAAAATAATTGAAATTCTTCGATGAGTTTTATTATTTATGAAAATAATTGAGTTCTTGCTTAGAATTTTATTAAAAATTTATTTAAAAAATGTATTTCCATGAAAAATGTTATTATTAGTGAAAGTAATTGAATTATTGTGAAGAATTGTTTAAAAATTTTGTTAAATAATTGATTTTTTCGTAATTTTTTGTTCATTATGCTATTCTATATTAATTGAATTCTTGTGGAACTTTTATTGTTTATAAAAATAATTGAATTTTGAATGAATTTTATAAATTTTTTTTTTAATAATTGAATTTTGAATGAATTTTATAAATTTTCTTTTATATAATTGAATTTTGAATGAATTTTATAAATTTTTTTTTTTAATAATTGAATTTTGAATGAATTTTATAAATTTTCTTTTAAATAATTGAATTTTGAATGAATTTTATAAATTTTTTTTTTTAATAATTGAATTTTGAATGAATTTTATAAATTTTCTTTTAAATAATTGAATTTTTAATGAATTTTATAAATTTCCCTTTAAATAATTGAATTTTCAATGAATTTTATAATTTTTTTTTTTAAATAATTGAATTTTTTTGCGAAATTTTATGAAAATATACTAGATATTGAAAATAGTTTTAGTATAGATAAATGCGAAGCCTGTATTATTATTATTAATTTATTATTGAATTGAAAAAAATAAAAATCAAACTGAATATTAAAGAAAAAAACATTTATGAAAGTAAAAATCGTAAAAGAAAAGAGAATCGAAAGAAGCAAAGAAGTAAAAAAAGAATGAAAAAAGAAAAAAGAAAAGTGAATAAAAGATGAGATACTTGAGGAACGTGACACAAACCGCGGAGGTATGATGGATGAGAGGGCGGTCGGTTTAGGTGATCGGGACATGATCGCTCGAGGTCGGGGTGGTCCGCCTGTCCTGTTCACGTCCATGATCAATGCCGTCTGCATTATAAAAAATAAAAAAAAAATTTTAAAAAAAATTCCCTCACACAAGAAATTTTTCATATTTCCGTTGAAAACTGGTCTCGCGAAGAAAACTAGTATTCTGTTCATGCACTTTCTAATGTACCCTTCAATATATATTTTTTTCATAACATTTTTTTCTACTTTTTTTTCTATTTTTTTTTCCTTTTTTTCTTTTCTTTTTCTTTTTTTTCTATTTATTTTGACTTAGATTTTTTTATCGAACAATTTTGTAAACGACTAAAAATCTAAATTTTAATTTTATTAAAAAATTATTGTTACTATTATTATTATTTTTTTTCTAAAAAAGTAAAATTGAAAAGATGTGGTTTTTTTTAAAAAATAATTATAGTATTAAATTTTTACCTCACTTATTTTATTTTATAATATACGATATTTATAATAAAGTTGTGCAATCTAATGTTACTTATAAATTAATTACGCCATTTAACATTCACCTAATAGTCAATTGACAATGCACTGTGAAATGATATTGGCGCACGCGATTCTAACACGCGAGAACATTATTATCTTCAATAGTTTTGCAGTTTTTTCTCAGCGCTCATGAGAAATAGAATTTTTAAATTACACTCTTAGTTTAAAATAATAATAAAAAAAAAGAAAAAAAAAGTTGATTACGTACCTATTTTACAAATAATATTTGTCGATTTTGTGGCCTTGGACACAATGCCACAAAAATCGACAAATATTTGTGTAAAATTAAGTTTTTTTTGGAAACATTCGAACTATTTTAATAAAAAGAAACATTTTTTTTCATTTTTACAGACATTTATCAAAATAATGGCAAAATTTATAACATACGAGGAGGAATTAAAAAAAAATCCCGAATTGAAAGACAATGAAATTCAATTGTTGAGGGAATGGAACGATAAACAGCCGCATTTACCAAAAATTCCTGATATCGATTTAGCATTGTTTTTGCATAGTAATTATTATTTAATGGAACCAACGAAGACAACGATTGATTGTTATTATACAGTGAGAACACACGTGCCGGAATTTTTTTCCAACAGACGATTTAAAACGTCCAAGGAACTTCAGAAAATATCAAATGTTGCGTAAGTGATCATCTTTTTTTTCTATTCAAGTTCAACTTTTTTTTTTTAATTTCATAAAAAGTTATTTGTTTAAAGTCTGGTAAATTAGTATTTTTTTTTGAATTTGACATTTGATTTCTACTCAGTGACCCCAAAAAACCCCAGAGTTATAAATTTCAAACGATTTGCAACAATTTAAAAAAAAAATATCCTCCATATTGGATCCGCCATTTTGAATTTTTAAAATCTGACCTGAAATTCACGTTCAGTGACTTAAAAAACCCCCAATTGACAAGTTTTAATAAAAAATTGTCAATTTATAAAATTCTTTTCCCCATTTTTGATCCGCCATTTTGAATTTTTAAAATCCGACTTGAAATTCATGTTCAGTGACTTAAAAAACCCCCAATTGATAAGTTTTAAGCGAATATGCGGTCAATTTGTAAAAATAATTCCCCATTTTGGATCCGCCATTTTGAATTTTTTAAATCCGACTTGAACGTTAGTTTCAAGTCGGATTTAAAAAATTCAAAATGGGGAAAAAGATTTTACAAATTATTTCATAAATCTGTATAATTATATATGAATTTCTTTTTTATTTCTGTAAAAGTGTCACGACACAATTGAAGGGAAAAACCAAGGACGGTCATAAAATAATTTTTTGGAAACTAATCGATTCGGATCCATCGCATTTTGTGCATATTGACATTTTAAAATATTACTCAATGATTTTCGACGTTTGGCTACATTCGGAAGGCACAACCAGTGGACATGTTTTATTGGCCGACATGGCTGGCATCTCCTTGGGACATTGCGCTCGATTAAGTCCCTTGACGTCAAAAAAGTTTATGGTCTACCTTCAGGATGCCCTTCCAGTGCGTCTAAAGGGATTGCACTTTATGAATTCTAATGCCGCAATGGACGTTATACTTCAAATGATAAGGCCATTGATGAAGAAGGAATTAACTGAAGTGGTATGTAAAATATTTCTATAATTGGATAATTAGATCTATAATTTTATAATTCTTATAATTTCTATAATTATAATTTTATAATCCTTAAAATTTCTATAATTATAATTTTATAATTCTATAATGTCAACTGCCCAACTGTGTTAAATGAAAAACTTTTTGTCAACAATCTGCAAGGTTGGGGAGTTACCAAAAAAAAAAAATACTATTCACGTGCAAGAATCCATTGTGAATAGGGCTTAATGTTTTCTGTGCTTCCCCGTTCTCTATAATGGTGTCTCTACAGTATCTTTCTTTTATCGGTATTAAGACCGAAAGTATATAATAGTTTTGCGAAAGTCTTTCGCAATAACGAAACGTATGCGATGGAAAAGGACACAAATATATCTCTGTCCTTTAAAATAATTTAATTCTTGCGAAGAATTTTAGAAAAATTTTTAAAAAATTGATTTTTTTTTTACTAACTTTATGCAAATTCTAATTTAAATAATTCAATTTCTGAGAAATTTTTATTATTCATGAAAAGAATTGAATTCTTACGAACGATTTTATTAGAATTTTTTAAAATAATTGAATTTCCAAGAAGAAATTTATTACTTTTACAAATAATTGAATTCTTGAGATGAATATTGTCATTTATGAAAATAATTGAATTTTGTAAAAAATTTATTAAAATGCCACAAAATAATTGAATTTTCGGGAATAATTTTGTTATTTATCTTTAATAATTGAATTCTTTCGAAGAATTATTTATGTAAATAATTGAATTTTCGGAAAGAATTTTATTAAAATCTAAAAGAATAATTGAATTATTTCAAAAAATTAATTAAAATTGTATTTAAAGTAATTGATTTCTTTGGAATAATTTTATTACAATATTTGAAAATAATTGGATTCCTGTGAAAAATTCTAATATTTCTTTAAATAATATTGAATTCTTCTAGAGAATTTTAAAAAAACATTCTTTTAAATAATTGATTTTTGTGAGGAATTGAAATTAAATTTTGAAGAATAATTACATTTTTCTTCTTCAAAAGAATTGAATTTCTGTGAAAAATTGTGTTTTTCTTAAATAATTGAATTCCTAAAAAACATTTTATTATTTATGAAAATAATTGTATTCTTGGGAACGATTTTTTTTAGAATTTTTTAAAATAATTGAATTTCAAAGAAACAATTTATTATACTTTTAAAAATAATTCAATTTTTGTTATGAATATTTGTTATTTATGAAAATTATTGAATTTTGCATAAAATTTTATTAAAATGCCTCAAAATAATTGAATTTCCGTGAAAAATTTTTGTTATTTTTTAAAATAATCGTATTATTGCAAAAAAATTATATTAAAATTGAATTTTTGTGAAAAATTTTGTTATTTTTAAAAATAATTGAATTCTTGCTTATAGTTTTATCAAAAATTTTTTTTTTAAAAATTGAATTTCAACGAAAAGTGTTGTTATTAATGAAAGTCATTTAATTATTATGAAAAATTTTATAAAAATGTTGTTAAATAATTGATTTTTTCGAGAAAATGCAATTAAATTTTTAAGAATCATTACATTTTTGGAGCAATTCCTGTCAAATTGTATTAAAAATAATTGAAATTCTGCGATGAATTATATTATTTTTTAATATAATTGAACTTCTTTGAAAATTTTTTTTTTTTTAATATAATTGAAATTTTTATAAGAATTTTATAAACATTGTTCTAAATAATTGAATTCTTGTGGAAATAATTTATTTTTGAAAATAATTGAATTTTTTCATTAATTAATTTAAAATAGTATTTAAAATAATTGAAATTCTTCAATGAGTTTTTATTATTTATGAAAATAATTGAAATTTTGATGAATTTTATCAATTTTTTTTAAATAATAGAATTCTTTCGTGAAATTTTATGAAAATACTAGATATTGAAAATAATGTGAAAATAATTAAAGTTCGAATATTTTTTGAAAATAATTGAACCGTTTTAAAGAATTTGATTATAATTTCCGAGAATAGTTTTTTGATTTCTAGTATTAGCGAATTTAAAGTAGTGTAAATTCTCAAAAAAAAACCGAAATAATAGCTTTTATAGTGGCTGAAATCTAAAAAAGTACCTAAATAGTAGCATAACCTAAAAAAAGTAGTAAATAGTAGGTTTTAGTAGACGAGTGCGAAGCCTATAAATATAAAATCGATCAAGCAAAATATTTTACCAATATTTTAACTTCTTTACCTGTAAAATTGAAATTCAAGATGAAAAATTCAATTAAAATAAGGTATACAATTTTTTTTCTTTTAGTTGCACGTTCACACCAATAATACTTCATTAGCGAAACACATTGACCTGGACATATTACCTAACGAGGCCGGTGGAAAGGCAGGACCCTTGAGTGAATTTCATGATGCGAGAAAAAAGGAACTGGACGATTACAGCGATTGGTTTGAGCAAGACGAAAAAACGGCTCGTGTTCAAGAGACACTGCGTCCAGGAAAGGCAAAAAATGCCACTGACCTCTTTGGCGCTGAGGGCAGTTTTAAAAAGCTCGACATAGATTAAATTTTCAATTCATAAACATATGTTTATCAGTATTTTAACACAAAAATAATATTTTATTTATACCATTTCACGAAAATTCTACTTTCTTAGAAAATATTATTATTTATGGGCGAAAATATTCGAGTTGTCCACCTTTTTCTCCCTCTCCTTTCTTTAAATTACTAAATGTTTAAACTTTAAACTATACTGAAAGTATATTGTTGCTTTTGACAATATTAAGATTTTTTAGACATGGTGGCGAAAAATTCTGCTGTCTCAATCTATCATTAACGCAATTTTTGTAATTCTTCTTTGTCAATTTAGCCAAATTGTAAACTTAACACCAAAGAGTATAATGGTTAACGTTAAATGTTAAGTCTAACGTTAATATTTTAAGTTAATGAAAATCAAAGAAAGAAAAAAAGTTCTTTAAAAAGAATTTTTAAAAAAATACTTCTGGCCAATAAGGTAGAAGCTATCGAATTTTTTTTTATTAAGGAGAGAAAGAATCAATTAGAATTAGAAAAATGTGAGTCCTCTTTGTTCCCCCACTATGAATCTAGTGCCGAAATGAGCGTGTCTTGTAAAAAAGGCGTGACCTAAAATTCTAATTTCTAGGTATTTTTCTAAAAAAATCATATACTTTGTAGCATTTTTTTATTTTTAAAGATTGTTTTCTAAGGCAGTGTTATTATACGTTTCCTTCAAGGAAACAGCATTTGTAAGATGTTTGTGAAAAATAAAAACAATTCTATAATTTACCATTAATATAGCTTTGTCATTCTTAAAAATCAAAGTCACGACAATTTTGATTACTTAGTATGTAGCTTAGATAAACGATAGTTTGCGACAACAGTCATCATTTCACTCTTTTACAGTACAGTAAATATTTTTCCCCAACTTTACATCTTTATTTCTTTATATCTTTACTTTCATAATTTTTTTCCCCTGTACGGAATATACGGCGGTATATTTGATTTATATATTGTTAAAAGATATTTTTACAAAAAGAAATATAATATATAATATAATAATACATAATATAATATATATAACATAGAACAAAAAGAAAATAGTGGTACAGAATAAGCAGAGAAATTTTACCCCCTTTAATATTTATCAAATACTTTACTAAAATTGAATTGAAAGGAACTAAATTTTCGAATAGTCATGGTTCTGAAGTATATCAATGTGGACGAGGAGTTTAAAAAGAATCCCGATCTTAAAGAATCGGATCTGCAAATGCTACGTGAATGGTGTGAAAAACAACCGCACTTGCCGAAAGTCACTGACACGGATTTAATTCTTTTCCTACATAGCAATTATTACCTGATGGAACCAACAAAGACGAATATTGAAACTTATTTTACGTTGAGGACACATTTACCGGAATTTTTCACGAGCAGGGATTTGACACAGTCGCCGGAATTGCGAACCGCATTGGAAGTCGCGTATGTATAATTAAAATTTATATTCTATAAAAGAAATTTAATATCAATTAATAATTTAACATTTATATGTGACCTGCTGTGAAGAAAGGTACAGGTTCACTGTCACTTTGCTATAATTTCTTTGTCATTTCACTTACACTTCACTCTTTCTTCACTGTCACTTTACTTTAACTTCACCCTTTCCTCACTGTCACTTTACTTTAACTTCGCAACTCTTTCTTCATTGTCACTTTACTTTAACTTCACTCTTTCTTCACTGTCACTCTACTTTTATTTCACTGTCATTTCACTCTTTCTTCATTGTCACTTTACTTTCATTTCACTGATATTTCACATCATCTTTCTTCACTATCACTTTATTTTCAATTTCTCTGCACTCTTTCTTCATTGTCACTTTACTTTAACTTCACTCTTTCTTCACTATCACTTTACTTTCATTTTACTGTTATTTCACTTCATCTTTCTTCACTATCACTTTACTTTCATTTCACTCTTTCTTCATTGTCACTTTACTTTCATTTCACTTTTTCTTCACTGTCACTTTACTTTAACGTCACTCTTTCTTCACTGTCACTTTACTTTCATTTCACTGTTATTTCACTTCATCTTTCTTCACTATCACTTTATTTTCAAATTCTCTTCACTCTTTCTTCACTGTCACTTTATTTTAACTTCACTACTCTTTCTTCATTATCACTTTACTTTAACTTCACTCTTTCTTCATTGTCACTCTACTTTCACTTCACTGTCATTTCACTATTTCTTCATTGTCACTTTACTTTCATTTCACTGTTATTTCACTTCATGTTTCTTCACTATAACTTTATTTTCAAATTCTCTTCACTCTTTCTTCACTGTCACTTTAATATCATTTCTTTGTCATTTCACTTCACTCTTTCTTCACTGTCACTTTACTTTAACTTCACTCTTTCTTCACTGACATTTTACCTTCATTGCACTGTTATTTCACTTCATCTTTCTTCACTGTCACTTTACTATCATTTCTTTGTTATATCACTTCACTCTTTCTTCACAGTCACTTTACTTAAACTTCTCTTTCTTCACAGTCACTTTACTTTAACTACACTCTCTTTCTTCACTAATTTATAAAAAATTTGTAAATAGTTGAACTCTTTTGTGAAATTTGTATTATTTATGAAAATAATTAAATTCTAAGTGGATATAACCACTTAATAAAAAAAGTAGAAGATATCGATCGATATTCCAATTAATATTAATCATATTCGAAATGAATTTGAATTATTATCATTTACAGTTTCACTACACCTCTAAAGGGAAAGACAAATGAGGGTTACAGTGTTTTGTTTTGGAAATTAATGGACAGCGACGTCACAAAGTATGTCCATTTGCACACGATGAAACTTCACGTAATGATATTTGATTTGTGGTTGCAAACGCATGGAACAATGCTTGGTCATGTTTTGGTTATTGACGTAAAGGGAATAAGTATTGGTCACGTGACAAGAACGAGTCCTATAATTTTCAAAAAATTTCTCTGCTATCTTCAAGATGCATTTCCAGTTCGTTTAAAGGCCATACATTTTATTAATTCAGTAGCCGCAGTCGATATGCTGTTTGCAATGACAAAACCATTTATGAGGAAGGAATTAATAGACATGGTATAGTAACTATAACCATAACTATATTCGTACATGTCCACTTTCTTATTTCTAAACATTAAAATTGAACCGACTTATATTTTTGCAAAAATAATAACTGAAAAAAAAAATAATTGAACTAAATAAATTTTCAGTTACATTTTCATACGGCAATCGACACATTTAAAAAACTATTTCCCATGGAAATTTTGCCAAATGAATCAGGCGGTAAGGCAGGTCCTGTGGAGGGATTTCGACAAAATAGTATCAAGGAATTGGAGGAATTTCGCTATTGGTTTGCGCACGACGAATTGCATGGACGTGTGAATGAATCTAAACGCGTTGGAAAAGCGAAAAACGCTACCGATCTCTTTGGCGCTGAAGGTAGCTTCAAATCACTAGCTATCGATTAAAATTTACAAATATTAGATCGAAAATACTTTTCAGAAAAATTAATTAAACTTGTAGGCTAACGCAACACTTGAATAAATAATTTAAATTAAATTTAGTTTTATTAACCGAATAAGTGACGCTTTTCGGTAAAATAGACTTTAGGCGGCAAAAAAATATAGAGGTTATGTTTTGGAAAGTTTGTAATAGAATTAAAATATTATATTATTTAATCTAATTTTTAATTAACAACTAATATTCAATATTAACTGAAATTTTAATATTATTTACCATTTTGTAAATTTTCTTGTCCATTTTCTCATGTATAAAAATTGAATACATAACAGCTGTATAAATGACAGAAAGGAAATATAATTACGTTTTGAAAAATGATTTTTAAGTTATTCATCTGTAACCTATGATCAAAATTTTCGTCCACATGAGAATTATTCAAAATACGATGTTTAAATCTCAAGATTTAAAGAAAAAAAAAGAATTGTTGCATATCCTTGATAAACCAGCTTTGTCATTATAGAATGATGACATCATGCTCCATGATGCATAAACAAGAGATTGCCGTTGAAGTTTCATTTAGTTCCTTATTAGTGATCATGGCAAAAACACTAATCATCTATGTGGGAGATTTTTTAGATAAAACAGCTTTTTTTTAAGTTATTAAATTTTAAAAAAATTACTAACAAACTTATTAATTTAATAAAGCATAAAAAAATTTAATGAATAAAAAAAATAAATAAATAAAAAATTAATTCATTTAATAAAGCATAAAAAATAATTTAATAAATAATAAAGATAAATAAATATAAGTTAAACAAGTAAATTAACAAAATTCGGTTTGAGTTAATAATACAAAAACCATGAGTTCAACAAAAATGATCACAGTCGAGGAGGAATTTAAAAAAAATCCTGAATTAAAAGAATCGGATCTTGAAATATTGAGGGAATGGTGCAAAAAGCAACCGCATTTGCCAAAAATTGCTGACATCGATTTAATACTAATTTTGCATAGTAATTATTATTTAATAGAACCATCGAAAAGAACAATTGACAATTATTTTACAATGAGAACACACGTGCCTGAATTTTTTTCAAACAGAGACGTTCTTAATTCCCCGTCACTTCGAAAACAACTCGATATTGCGTAAGTATTCTTTCTCACAATATTTTATTAAATTATAATAACTTATAATAATTTATTACATTATTTAAATGATAATACTTAGTTTTTTTAAGTAAATAAGTAAAGCAGGAAAGTAAAACTAAAGATTTGAACAGCCGTTTGTGTTTTGGCCCTTTGATAATTTTTTATCTGTACTACATCACAGGATCTTTTTACTTTTATAAAAAATAAAATTTTTGTATATCTTATTATTTTAGAGAAAAACGCAAAACAAAACTAAAATGATCAAAAAGTGTAGAATATTCTAATATGAACGAAATATATTTCATTAAAAATATTTTTAATACTGATTATAATAAAGATTATAAACTGAAATTTTAGATTTGGAAACTTTATATAATTAATGTTTTTCATGTTGCAAAATTATAGAAATAAAAATTTAATTTGAAGAAGAAATAAATTAATTTCGTTCATTTGAACGTTTAAAACGATTATGAAATTCGAAATTGAATTCATTTTTTTAAATCTCTTTTACTTTTCAAAAAATTTTTGTAACTAAAAATATTAAAAATAAATAATTTTTAATTAATTAATTAATTAATTAATTTTTAATTTTTAATATTAAAAATATTATATTTTCTAAAGAAATAGAAAATCACACTTTTTTATTGTTGAAAAGAAATCTTAAAAGTATTCTTTCTTTGATTATTAAAAAAAATAAAAAAAAGATGAAAAACATATTTTTTTAACCTAAAAAATTATGAAGTTAATTTATTTAAACAAATCCTATTTTTAATTAAAACTTTTATCATTTATCTAAAGTACAATTCCTCATTAAACACTCTTTCAGGTTTTATTAAAATCGGTTCATTAATTGGATCGCGATTAATTGGTTATTTACTAAAACGCTACAAAGAACTTTGAACATTAATGACTTTTGCAAATATTCGAATATCAGAAAACTATTTACAAATTTTAATTATACCATCATAGGCTATCGAAACGTATAAAAATGAGAAAAATTCATAGACCCAAAAAAATTTAGGGGCCCACTTCAGGAATTCTTACCCTATTTTAATGTAATTAATAAAAGTTTGTCACTTCTAAAGAAATTTACCAATTTTCAATGTTTTATGGTTCCGTCAAAAATGAAGCTAACTTACTAACTAACTTATTAACAAACTAACTTTCTAACTTACTAAGTGACTTACTAATTGACTAACTTTATAACTAACTAAATAGCTTACTAACTTACTAACTAACTCAATAACTAACTATTTATTAATTTTTATTTATTTGTTTATACCACCCGTCTTAAGCTTTCAATCTTGGCTATACAAGTTAGTAAGTTAGTGTGTTATTAACTAAGTTAATTAGTTAGTAACTTAGAAAGTTACATTGTAGGTTAGTTAGTAAGTTAATAACTCAATAAGTTAATAAGTTAGTAAGTTAGTAAGTTAATTAGTAGTTAAGTTTGTAAGTTAGTTAGTAAGTTAGTTAATAACTAAGTTAAGTAAGTAAGTTAGTTGATAACTAAGTTAAGTAAGTAAGTTAGTTAGTAAGTTAGTTAAAAAATTAGTTAGTAAGTTAATTAGTAATGATGTTTGTAAGTTAGTTAGAGAATTACTTAGTAAGTCAGTAAGTTAGAATGTTATTAAGTTAGTAAGTTAGTAAGTTAGGATGTTATTAAGTTAGTAAGTTAGGATGATATTAAGTTAGTAAGTTATTAAGTTAATAAGTTAGTATGTTAATTTGTAGTTAAGTTTGTAAGTTAGTTAGTAAGTTGATTAGTAATTAAGTTTGTAAGTTTGTTAGAAAGTTAGTTAATAACTAAGTTAAGTAAGTAAGTTAGTTAGTAAGTTAGTTAATAACTAAGTTAAGTAAGTAAGTTAGTTTGTAAGTTAGTTAAAAAATTAGTTAGTAAGTCAATTAGTAATTAAGTTTGTAAGTTTGTTAGAAAATTAGTTAATAACTAAGTTAGTTAGTAAGTTATTTAGTAATTAAGTTTGTAAGTTAGTTAGAAAGTTACTTAGTAAGTTAGTAAGTTAGGATGTTATTAAGTTAGTAAGTTAGTAAGTTAGTAAATTAGTAAGTTATTAAGTTATTAAGTTAGTAAGTTAATTAGTAGTTAAGCTTGTAAGTTAGTTAGTAAAATAATTAGTAATTAAGTTTGTAAGTTAGTGAGTTTGTTAGTAAGTTAGTAAGTGAGTAAGTTAGTAAGTTAGTTAGTAAGTTAGTTAGTTAATAACTAAGTTAGTAAGTAACGTAAGTATGTAAGTTAGTAAGTTAATTAGCAATTAAGTTTGTAAGTTATTTATCTAGTAAGTTAGTAAAGTAATTAGTAAGGTAGTTAGTTTGTTAGTTTGTAACTAAGTTAGTTAGTAATCGTTGACTTAGTTTTGATTTGAAGTAAAATTTCAGTCATAGTAAAAAATAACACCAAAATGGATTATTTTAATCCTTTTTGGTGTCAATTTAATCTACAACGCTTGTTAATATCTCATAATTTACTTTTGAGTACAGGTTCTAAAATATTTAATTTTTCCTTGTTAATAGAGTATATATGCCGTTGAAGGGACTATCCAAGAAGGGCTACAACATAATTTACTCAAGATTGATTGACTACGAACCATCTCACTTTGTGCATCCCGAGACCGAGAAGGCCTACAATATGATGCTGGATATATGGTTGTGGACTGAGGGCACTGTAAAGGGTCACGTGATTCTTATAGATATGCACGGCTCACAAATGGGTCACGTCAGTCGAATGAATCCTTCAGTGGCGAAAAAATCGCTCCTCTATCTTCAGGACGCCCTTCCAGTTCGACTCAAAGAGATTCATGTCATGAATGTTTCGCCGATTTTCGATCTGATGATGATGATTTGCAGGCCATTTATGAAAAAGGAACTTTTGGACATGGTGAGTACTGGAGAAAATGGACTTTGGTAATTATTTAGAATCACGGCTTCTTTCAATTGTAGAATTTGAATACAGGTAACTGCTTATATGCTGTCCTTCCAGTGTGTACACGTCTTTAAACAGCGTAGCCTTTCTATCATAATGTTGTTAGTTCATGGCAAAGTTGTGTACAGTCAAATGCATTAATGCTGTTCTTTCGGATTGACAACGTTTTCAAAAGTCGTGGCACTTCTATAAAAATGCTGTTAGTTTATGGTAGTTCATGACAGTTCATGACAAATGAATGGACATTCGTATGTCACGAACTAAAAATATTTGATAGAAGTGACATGATTTTAAAATTAAGTCAAACCGGAAGGAAAGCATTAAAGCATCTGAGTGTATAATGTTAGCCACAAACTAATAAGTTTGTAAGAGAAATTCTTCGGTTTTCAGAAAAGTGTGCAAACCGGAAGAACAGCATAAAAGCAGTTACCTATATAATCAATATTCTATCTGAATTCTTTTTTAGTTACACCTTCACACCACAAAGGAGAGTCTCGAGGAATATATTCCACTGGAGATATTGCCGAATGAAGCCGGTGGAAAGGCGGGACCATTGTCAAAATTTTATGATGATCGCATGAAACTCTTGACAGAATTTCGTGATTGGTTTATTGAAGACGAAAAAAGTGGACGTGTCAATGAAAATCTTCGGCCTGGAAAGTCTAAAAATGCTGGTGAAGTTTTTGGTGTTGAGGGCAGTTTTAAAAAACTTGATATTGACTGAGAAATCGATTGTTCACTATAATACAACAATAAGTGCCTTTAATAGCATCTTGACATTTAATTTCTCTTATTTTAACACCAAAGCAGAATAGTGGAAGAGCAAATTAGAGAAGGACAAAGATATATTAATATCCTTTCTTAACTCTTTTATTATGATTCTAGGACACTATTGTGCATTAGCCTTGAACCTCCCATCATGTATAGTGAAACCATGACGTCACTGTTATGAACGACGATTTTCAAGTAAACATAACCTTAAAACTTAATTTTCCCTATTAGGTCCCGAGTTTTACATTCCGCGTCCTCAACAACAATTTCTGTGTCTAATTTAAATCAATTAGACGTATTTTATTTATCGAATGTGTTTTAGTGTCTTGCATATTAAATAAAGACTGTTATGATCTGTATTAAAAGAAAAGTGCACAGAGTTCTGAGTTTTTTTTACGCGTGACTGCCCATCTCTGTATACAATTCGTAATACACCTAACCTAACTTTTTACAACAGTGTGTACTTGTGAAGTAAACATTAAGTTGTCAATTTACGGGAAAAAGCATTTCACAGAAAGAAAAGACGATCAGATTTTAGGACCAAGGGGACCAAGAGTGTCGATTTAAATATAATTACATCCAAAACACTTTTCAGAAAAATTAATTTAACTTGTAGGCTCTAGGCTGACGCAACACTTAAATATAAAATAAACATTTAGTTCTATTAACCTTCTTATGAGTGACGCTTTTCAGTAACATGGACTTTAGGCGACAAAAAAATTCAGGTTACGTTTTGAACAGTTTAAATTTAAAGTAAAATTTTTAAAAACCTTCGTAATATTTATTAATAAATATTAATAAAAGTAATATTATTAATATTTATTAAATATTGTTACTACTATTATTAATAACAACTACGATGTTGAGATTTAAAAAGAAAATTGTTGCATATCCTTGATAAACCAGCTTTGTCATTTATTGAACGATGACATCATTCTCCTAATGAATTAACAAGAGTTTGCGCCGTTGAAGTTTCATTTAGTTCCTTATTCGTGATCATAGGAAAAACACTATAATCCTCTATTTGGGTTACTTTCAAATAAAAAAGCGTTTTTATAAGTTATTAAATTTTAAAAAATTACTAAAAAACTAATTAATTTAATAAAACATAAAAATAATAATTTAATAAACCATTATAATAATAAATCAATATTTTAAAATAGTAAACAAAAAACAAAATTTAAATAAAAAATTGTCAAAAAGTGAAAAAATAATATAACAATTCGAAATAGTATAAAAGAATAATAAAATTACAATTAAGTAATAATAAAATTATTTAAATCCTATTTTAAAAATATTTAGGTATTAAAACTAATATTTTATTATTAAATATACTTCAGGCTCGATCGAAATAATAAATATGAGTTAAACAACTAAATTAGCAAAATTACATTGTTAGTGATATAAAAAAAAGAAAACCATGAGTTCAACAAAATTGATCACAGTCGAGGAGGAATTTAAAAAAAATCCTGAATTAAAAGAATCGGATCTGGAAATATTGAGAGAATGGTGCAAAAAGCAGCCGCATTTGCCAAAAATTTCTGACATTGATTTAATACTATTCTTGCATAGTAATTATTATTTAATAGAACCATCGAAAAGAACAATTGACAATTATTTTACAATGAGAACACACGTGCCTGAACTCTTTACAAACCGAGACATTCTTAATTCCCCGTCACTTCGAAAACAACTCGATATTGCGTAAGTTCTTTTTCACAATATTTTATTAAATTATAATAATGTATAATAATTTATTACGTAATTTAAATACTAATATTTATAATATTTTTAAGTAAATATGTGAAGCAGGAAAGGAAAAACAAAAATTTGAACAGCCGTATGTGTTTTGTCCCTTTGATAATTTTTTATGTATACTTCCACTTTATAGGGAATTTTATTGACGATCTTTTTACTTTAAAAAAAGAAAAATTTTTAATATCTTACTATTTAAAGAAAAACGCTAAAATGAAATTGAATTAAATTTTTTACATTATTTTATTACTATTTTTGATAAAATTATTGGAAGTTAGTATATTTTAAACTATATTGAAAACGACAAATCATAATTTTTTTAGAAAATCGTTTTTTTTTATTTAAATCGTTTGTTTTAATTCGGTTAGGTCACCTTGACGGAAAAGTATAAACATGCAGGGCCGTAAGAAACACTATATGTATGCATTATAAATTAATTTCTGCAGAAAAAATAAATTTTATTTAGAAAAATTGTTACCCGGATTATTAATTGATTATAATATTAATAAAATATTAATAAATTCTTTCATTTTTACAAAATAAAATTTAATAACACGGGGGGGGATACGGTTCCTTTCATAGCTACGCTACTACGATCAACGAAGCAATCTCGACCCTCCCCTTCACTCCTCGTCCCGTTTCAATAACAACACTTTCCTAATAATCGGTTTCCTTATAATCAGCGTTCCAGTGCAACTGCGTAGGGTTTCACAGTGTAGAATATAATTGCATAGAATTGTTAGTGTGATGGGATATCGAAAGAAAAACATCGACATCGAAAATTCATAACATCGATGTCATTTTGACAAAATTCGACGAATTTACCTTCACGAGAGACAATAGTTAGTAACTAACTTACTAACTTAATAACTTACTATAACTTTCTAACTTAATAATTTACTAGCCTACTAACTTACTAACTTACCAACTTAATAACTAATTTACTAACTATATAACTAACTTACAAAATTAATTACTAATTAACTTACTAACTAACTTACAAACATAATTACTAATAACTTAATTAACTTACTGACTTATTAACTTACAAGCTTACTGACTTACTAACTTACTAACTTAATTACTAATTAACTTACTAACTAATTCACTAGATAACTTACTTACTAACTTATTTAATTACTAACTTAGTTACTAACTAACTTAGTAAGGTAGTAAGTAACTAAATCAGTAAGTTATTTAATAATTAAGTTAATTTCGGTATTTTTTTCAAGGACCTTAATTTTTGTCGAATACTGTTTGTTAATTGTGGCCTTGGGTCCAAATAATTACAAATTTTGTTCTTTTTTAATAGAATTACTTCTTTATTTCATTCATAAGGTAGCTAGTGAATTAGTTAGTAAGTTAATTAGTAATTAAGTTTGTAAGTTAGTTAGAAAGTTTGTTAGTAAGATAGTTAGTAAATTATTTAGTAAGTTAGTTAGTATGTAAGTTAGTAAGTTAGTTAGTTAGTAGGTTAGTAAGTTAGTTAGAAAGTTTGTTAGTAAGATAGTTAGTAAGATAGTTAGTAAATTATTTAGTAAGTTAGTTAGTACGTTAGTTAGTAAGTTAGTTAGTAGGTTAGTAAGTTACTTAGTAAGTTATAAAGTTAGTAAGTTAGTATTTAGTAAGTTAATTATTAATTAATTTTGTAAGGTCATTAGTAATTAAGTTAGTAGGTAAGTTAGTTAGTAAGTGAGTAAGTTAGTTAATAACTAAGTTAAGTAAGTATGTTAGTTAGTTAGTTAATTACTAATTAAGTTTGTAAGTTAGTAAGTTAATTAGTAATTAAGTTTGTAAGTTAGTTAGTAAGTTAGTTAGAAAGTTAGTTAGTAAGATAGTTAGTAAATTATTTAGTAAGTTAGTTAGTAGGTTAGTAAACTACTTAGTAAGTTAGTAAGTTAGTTAGAAAGTTAGTTAGTAAGATAGTTAGTAAATTATTTAGTAAGTTTGTAAGGTCATTAGTAAGTAAGTTAGTTAGTAACTAAGTTAGTTAGTAATTTAATTAGTAGTTAAGTTTGTAAGTCCCGTAGAAAGTTATTAAGTTAGTAAATTAGTAAGTTAATAAGTTAGTAAGTTAATTAGTAATTAAGTTTGTAAGTTATTTAGAAAGCTACTTGGTAAGTGAGTAAGTTAGTGAGTTAATAAGTTAGTAAGTAGGTTAGTTAGTTAATAACTAAGTTAAGTAAGTATGTTAGTTAGTAAGTTAATTAGTAATTTAGTTTGTAGGTTAGTTACCTAGTTAATTAGTAAATTAGTTAGTAAGGTATTTAGTTAGTTAGTTAGTAACTAAGTTAGTTAGTTTGTTAGTTAGTTAATAATCGTTGACATGGTTTTGATTTGAAGTAAAATTTCCGTCATAGTAAAAAATAACAAAAAAATGGATCCTTTAAAGCTAGGTGCTTTGTTTTACGTTTTACACAACACTTCAGGTTCACAAATAATTAATTTAAAAAAATTTTTTTTTATTAATAGAGTATATATGCCGTTGAAGGGCCTGTCCAAAAAGGGCTACAGCATAATTTACTCAAGATTCATTGACTTCGATCCATCTCACTTTGTGCATTCCGAGATTGAGAAGATCAACGGCATGGTGGTGGATATATGGTTACGGACACAGGGCACTGTCAAAGGTCACGTGTTTGTTATGGATATGCACGGCTCACAAATGGGTCACGTCAGTCGAATGAATCCTTCAATAGCGAAAAAATCACTACTCTATGTTCAGGACGCCCTTCCACTTCGACTCAAAGAGCTTCATGTCTTGAATGTTTCGCCGCTTTTCGACGTTATGATGACGGTTTGCAAGCCGTTTATCAAAAAGGAACTTTTGGACATGGTGAGTACGACTTCAAAAAGAAAATGGACTTTGGTAATTATTTAGATTCACGGCTTCTTTCAATTGTAGAATTTAAATACAGGTAACTGCTTATATGCTGTCCTTCCAGTGTGTACACGTCTTTAAACAGCGTAGCCTTTCTATCATAATGTTGTTAGTTTATGGCAAAGTTGTGTACAGTCAAATGCATCAATGCTGTCCGTCTGGTTTGACGGCGTTTTCAAAAGTCGTGACAATTCTATAAAAATGTTGTTAGTTTATGGTAGTTCATGACAGTTCATGACAAATGAATGGACATTCGTATGTCACGAACTAAAAATATTTGATAGAAGTGACACGACTTAAAAATTCCTTTAGACTGGAAGGACAGCATATATGCAATTGCCTGTATAATGTTAGCCACGAACTAATAAGTTTGTAAGAGAAATGCTACGGTTTACAGAAAAGTGTGTGCAAACCGGAAGAACAGCATAAAAGCAGTTCGCTGTATAATGAATGTTATATTTGAATTCCTTTTTTAGTTACACTTTCACACTTCAAATGACAGTCTAGAGGAATATATTCCACTGGATTTATTGCCGAATGAAGCCGGTGGAAAGGCAGGACCATTGTCAAAATTTCATCAGGATCAAATAAATCTTTTGACAGAATTTCGTGATTGGTTTATTGAAGACGAAAAAAGTGGACGTGTCAATGAAAATCTTCGACCTGGAAAGTCTAAAAATGCCGGTGAAGTTTTTGGTGTTGAGGGCAGTTTCAAAAAACTTGATATTGACTGAAAAATCGATTGTTCACTATAATACAACAATAAGTGCCTTTAATAGCATGTTGACATTTAATTTCTCCTATTTTAAGACCAAAGAAAAATAGCGAAAGATGGAGTTAGAGAAGGACGAATATATATTAATATCCTTTTTTAACTCTTTCATTACGATTCTAGGACACTATTGTGCTTTAGCCTTAAACCTCCCACCATTTAGCAAAACCATGACCAACAACAATTTCTGTATATAATTTAAATAAATTAGATGTATTTTATTTATAGAATGTATTTTAGTGTCTTACATATTATTAAATAAAGACTGTCATGATCTGTATTAAAAGAAAAATGTATAGAGTTCTGGATTTTTTACGCGTAACTGCCCATCTCTGCATACAGTTCGTAATATACCTAACCTTCCTTACAACAGTGTTTATTTGTGATGATTATGATTCACGTCGGATAGATTGCTACCGAAAATCATTATTATTAGTTTTTATTTATTTATTTATATTTATTAATAAATAAATAACTAAATTTGTTATATTTTGATTTTATTTATTTCAATTTAATTGTTATTTTAATTAGCAAAAAAAAAGAAGACAAGAAGTACTGAAAAAAATTATTAAAACAAACCTTAATAATAATAAGTTGTTATACATTATTTTGTATATTATTTGAGGTAATCATAATTGAAAATGTATAATAGAAGAAGAACAAGTGTTAAATGATTTTAACTTACTTTTCATTTAAAGTAATAAGTAATAACTCAATTCTTAAAATCTTAAATTTCTTAAATGTCTTGAAAATCATTTCCCTCTTATAATTTCGTGCACAAAATTAATAAGTGGATTATGACAAAGAAGAAATAAACTTGCAGAATGTATAAAATAATTTCATTTTTTCTGTAATCTGTGATCATATTTTCATGCATACAACAATTATTGTTGTAATGTAATGTTAAAATTTTAAAAAAAATCGTTACTGCATATCATTCATAACTAGCTTTGTCATTATGAAATGATGACATCATATACTGCAATATACTGCTCCATGAGGCATAAACAAGAGCTAGTTGTTGAAATTGCTTCACAGTTCCTTATTAGTGACCGTCGAAGGAACATGAACCATATAAGTTATTTTTAATCCAATCACTGCTATATCGTAACTGTTAAATAAAAAAATTGTTTTCTACAATAATAAGGAAATATTAAAATGATACATCAGTTAACTAAAAATCAAAAACTAACATATTTTACCTTTCATTAAAAAAACTAAAATTAATATTAATTAATATTAATATTAATTAATATTAATTTATAATTTTAAATTACAAATAAAGTGGTTAAAAATTAACAAATTCTGTTGGCTACAAATTTCGATAACAATCGAGAAATAAGAAAACTTTAAAAGTATGAGTTCCGTAAAAATGATCACAGTCGAGGAGGAATTTAAAAAAAATCCTGAATTAAAAGAATCGGATCTAGAAGCATTGAGAGAATGGTGCAAGAAACAACCACATTTACCAAAAATTCCAGACATCGATTTGATATTATTTCTGCACAGTAATTATTATTCAATTGAACCAACAAAAAGAACGATAGACAATTATTACACAATGAGAACACACGTGCCCGAATTTTTTATAAACAGGGACATTTTAAATTGCCCGCCACTTCAAAGGCAACTCGATTTAGCGTAAGTTTTTAATTAATTTTTTAAAATTTAAATTTACAATTTATTAAAATTTCTATATTTATACAGAGTGTACACGCCACTAAAAGGATTATCAAAGTCTGGCTACAGCATAATTTACTCAAGATTGATTGATCTAGAACCATCACACTTTGTGCACAGTGATTCCTTGAAGGGTTACAATATGGTATTGGACGTGTGGTTCCACACAGTGGGCACTGTCAAGGGTCACGTTATTCTCATAGACATGCACGGTACACAATTGGGACACGTCAGCAGGATGAGTCCAGCAATTGCAAAAAAATCCTTATTTTACCTTCAAGATGCACTTCCAGTTCGACTCAAACAAATACATGTCATGAATTCCTCTCCGATTTTCGATTTAATGCTCACAATTTGCAAGCCATTTATGAAAAAGGAACTTTTGGATATGGTGAGAATTTTTTATTAATAAGATAAAGAAGGATGGTGATATATCACTGACCTTGTTTCTCACGTTTTAGTTGACCAGGGTTGGGTAGTTCGTTTATTTGAAATTTTTGTCCACTTTTCACAATATTCGAACATACTGGGGATTTAACTTAAGGCTTTGTTCACAATGCTCTTTTTGTGTTCCTATGTTGAATATAACATGAAAATTTAATAAATTTTATATTCTTATGTTATGGTCAGCATAAGGAGTTAAAACGAACCTATTGTAGACAGTCTCGTAGAATTTTCATCGGAAACGCAAACGTCTATTCTTGAATCTTACATTCCGAACCCTGCGTAGCATCAGAAATATTTATAGCTACCCAACCTTGCAGTTTTTTGAAATACGACAACTATTTGCGGGGATTTCCTCTTCTAGGAAGTGAAATGTGTAAACAATTTTCGGTAAGAAAAAATAATAATTCTTCGAAGTTATAAAGTTCTAATTCGGTTTTAATGCGAAAACGTTTGTTAATTAAAATAATAATAAAATAATCAAAGTTCTGGGTTTATCTATAAACTATTAACATTTCCAAATACAGAAATTGAAATTTAATTATAATATTGAATTTTTAGTTGCATCTTCATACAACAAAGGAGAGTTTAGAAAAATTCATCCCCCTGGAAATATTGCCAAATGAAGCTGGTGGAAAAGCGGGACCACTATCACAATATTATGATGAACGAAAGAAACTTTTAACCGAATTCCGCAATTGGTTTGCCAATGACGAGACAAATGGACGAGTGAACGAAAATCTTCGTCCTGGTAAATCGAAAAATGCGGGCGAAATTTTTGGCGTTGAAGGAAGTTTCAAAAAACTTGACATCGATTAGAAAATTGTAAAATATTTCCTAATTTAATTCCTAATAAAAGAAAAATTGTCCATCAATTCGTCAATTTTTTCCCTTCTTTTATATATTTTTATTATATAATTATTATTATAAATTTATTATTATAGTATTTTTATTTTATTTAAAAAGTCATTAGTTTTATTTAAAAGTCATTAGTTAATAATTTATAATATTTACAATATTAATAAAAGGAAAACTAAATTCTTAATTTTCTTGTTTATTACTTAATTATCAATAATTAAAATCCTCGTCAAAGGAAAAATGTCTGTAACAGTTTCTAATTTTAACAATATAGCATTGTTCATTTTCTCACTTTTACGTAATATAAATTATTGCGCAACCTACTGTCACATTCACTCTATGTCTAGCATTAATAATAATTTATTTCAATTTCTAAAAAGTATCATTAATTTAAAAAAAAATCTACTTTTTTTCTACTTAAAAATTCAATAAAAATGAAATTCAACTTTCATTATTTGCCCTCATTAGAAATATGCATCGATTTTTTGACTGCAATAAAAAAATGAAGAAATAATAACAAAAAAAAATTTCCAACATTGAAAATTAAATTTTTTGACGTAAAAACAATTCTTCTGATGAACGTGTGGAGCAGAAGAATTATTTGTCGTAGATTGCTTTCATAAAATTTGAATATACAAATTGACGACAAGATAAATATTCACTATGTATATATTTATACAAAAATTGTGAAAAATCAATAATTGTAAAGAAGATACATTTATTTAATGAAAATTCGAAAAAAAATTAATTTTCAATAGTTTATAATTTAACAATTGCTTTCCCGATATTTTTGCGTCGCATTAAACCCAAAAGGGCATTTACCGTATTTTCAAAGCCTTCATAAATGGTTTCGCGATACTTGAGTTTCTTTTCTTGAATCCAAGTGAAATTTTGCTTGAAACTCTCTCCATAGCGATGCTTCCATCTTGTTACCATAAAGCCCTCCATTTTCAACTGTTTAATCAAAAATAGCATTTGATAGAAATTTTTCGGTCTTTGTAGTTGTGCATCATCACTGTAACTCGAAATACTTCCACAAATTGAAATTCGTCCGAATTCTTTCATATGATTAATTACAGTATCCGAAATAGGACCACCAATCTGTTAAATTGAATTTTTTTTGCATTAATATCTTTTATTAATGTAATTTAATTAATTTTTAAAATTTTTAATTTAAAAAAAAAAATTTTTTTTTTTTTTTAAACTTTTGAATTTGAAATTTTTTTTTCCTTATGGAAAAATTATTTTTTAAAAGAATAGGAAACAAAAAGAGTTAACATAAGAAACTGATTTCAAACTGATTATTAGTATATAGATGATATAATAATTTTATAAGATAAAAATTATTAGATATATAATTTTATAAGATAAAAATTTTTAGATATATAATTTTATAAGATAAAAATTATTAGATATATAATTTTATAAACAAAATACTTGTATGTACATTATCAAAATAGCAGTCCACACCATCAGGAGCAAATTTTTTTAAAGCTACTGAAACGTCCTCGGTTTTGTAATTAATGACATGATCGATTTTCAAATCATTTTTAAGCCACTGACATTTTTCAACTGTTCCAGTTATTCCAATTACTTTGAGGCCTATAATTTTTCCGATTTGTGCAACGTGCGATCCAATTGCACCGCCAGCACCGCTAACAACTAAAATTTCACCTTTTTTTGGTTGACAGACTTCTAAAAATCCAAAATATGCTGTTTCTCTAAAAATGAAAATAAAAATTTTTTTTTTTAAATATCTGTTAAATTAGACAGACTTTTATTCCTTTTTTGCAAAGACAAAAATAATTTAAAATCTTAAAATTTTTATATTTTGACTATGGTCAAAATTTAGTTAATTATGGGCTAATAACAAAAATATTTTAAACAATTACTATTTATGGTTTTCTAGATTTATAGAAAATGATCAAAATATTATAAAGAAAAAATTTTTTTTTTAAATTCTAATTTTAAACTTTTATAAATCTAAATATTTTAAAAATGCAATTTCTTTAAGACTAAAAAATCTTGGTAAAAGAATTTAATAAACTTTTTTGTTATAATCAAGGCAACTATCGAAAAAAATTGAATTTTAGAGAAGTTATAAACGTTTGCAGAAATTCAATTATGTTCGAAAATTATTTAAAAAAAAAATATTATATTCTCCAAAATTCAATTATTTTCATATATAATAAAAATTTCTCAGGATTTCAATTTTCAATTATTTTAAAAAAAATATAATAAAAATTCATTGCAAGATTTCAATTCATTCTAATTTAAATAATTGAACTGCTGGAAAATTTTTATTATTCATAAAAATAATTGAATACTTACGAAGATTTTTACAAAAAAAAATTTTTGAAATAATTGAATTCTGTTTAAAAATTTTATGAAAATAGTAGATATTGAAAATCGTTGAATTGCGAAAAAGCATTTTATTATTTATAAAAATAATTGAAATCTTGCGAACGATTTTATTAGAATTTTTTAAAATAACTGAATTTCCAAGAAGAAATTTATTACTTTCAAAAATAATTGAATTCTTTTCATGAATTTTGTTATTTATGAAAATAATTGAATTTTGCTAAGAATTTTTTGAAAATGATTCAAAATAATTGAATTTTCTGGAATAATTTTGTTATTTATCTTTAATAATTGAATTCTTTTGAAGAATTATTCATGTAAATAATTAAATTCTCGGGTAGAATTTTATTAAATTTTAAAAGAATAATTGAATTCTCGGGTAGAATTTTATTAAATTCTAAAAGAATAATTGAATTATTCAAAAAAATTTTATTAAAATATTTAAAAATAATTGAATTCCTGTATAAAATTCTAATATTTTTGTAAATAATTGAATTCTTCCAAAGAATTTAAAAAAAAAAACTTTTTTTAAATAATTGATTTTTTCGAGAAATTAAAATTAAATTTTTAAGAATAATTACATTTTTTGAGCAATTCCTGTAAAATTTTATTAAAAGTAATTGAAATCCTGCGATAAATTTTATAATGAAAATTATAAATATGAAAATAATTGAATAGTTGCTACGAATTTTTATTAAAATTTTCAAAAATAATTGAATTCCTGAGACGAATTTTATTATTTATGAAAATAATTGAATTATAGCGAAAAATTTTATTAAAATGTTTAAAAAAAGAATTAAATTTCTATGACAAATTTTGTTATTTTTGAAAATAATTAAATTCTTGCGAACGATTTTATTTGAATTTTTTAAAATACTTGAATTTCTAAAAAGAAATTCAAAAAAAAATAATTGAATTCTTGTGATGAATATTGGTATATTTATGAAAATAATTAAACTTTGCAAAGAATTTCATTAAAATGCCTCAAAATAATTGAATTTTTGAGAATAATATTGTTATTTATCTTGAATAATTAAATTCCTGAGAAGAATTTTATTATTTATGAAAATAATTGAATTATTCCGAAAATTTGTATTAAAATGTTTAAAAAGAATTGAATTTCTATGAAAAATTTCGATATTTTTGAAAATAATTGAATTTTTCATAAGAATTTTATAAATATATTGTTTTAAACAATTATTTTTTTCAAAATATTATGAAAATTTTATTTTGAATAATTGAATTCGTGTGGGAAACTTAATTTGTGAAAATAATTGAATTTTTCGATTAATTAATTTAAAATGGTATTAAAAATAATTGAAATTTTTCGATGAGTTTTATTATTTATGAAAATAATTGAATTCTTGCTTTGAATTTTATGCAAATTTTTTTTTAAAATTGTTTTTTTTTTGTGAAAAATATTATTATTAGTGAAATTCTAAATTAATTGAATTTCTCTGGAAATTTCATTATTTATGAAAATAATTGAATTTTAGATGAATTTCATCAATTGTTTTTTAAATAATTGAATTCTTTTGCGAAATTTTATGAAAATACTTTGAATTGAAAATAATTGAATTTTGAATATTTTTTGAAAAAAATTGAATCGTTTGAAAGAATTTGATTATAATTTTTGAGAATAGTTTTTTGATTCTATTATTATTAGCGAATTTAAAGTAGTAGAAATTCTAAAAAAAAAACAAAAATACTAGCTTTTTGTGTCTGAAATTTAAAAAAAGTATCTAAATCGTAACATAACGTAAAAAAGTAGTAAATAGTAGGTTTTAGTAGATGAGTGCGAAGCCTGTTAATTAATTTAAATTATTTTTTATTGACCATTTTTCTCACCCTGGCATTCCAAGAACGCCGAGATAGAGAGAAGAAGGTAAATCGCCTAACGATGGCAGTACTTTGGGCACCTCATTCAAAAATCCAGAATGATCCCATTTCGAAGGATTGATGATCGTATGAGTTCTCCAACCATAGTAACCCTTAACCCTTTGGCCAACGGGAAATGCAGGATCTTTTGATTCAATTATTTTAGCTACCTGATTCGCGTGGAAAACTTCGCCAATACCCGATTCATTAATTGCAGACGACATCATGTATGGATCCACCGAAAAGAATTCCGCCTCGACGAGAACTTCTATACAGAGTGAAAATCGGTATGGTAGCAATAATTAATTATTTAATTAATTAATTTATCTATCAATTAATTAATAAATCAATTAATTCTCATCTTGTTCCAATAGTAATTTCAAATCTAAGTTTTCGAAAAAAATTCATTTCTAAAAACAAAAGTAGGTACCTAATTCAACTTTAGACAACATACCTCCATTTTTTAGAATTGGTAACTCTTCCTCTACAATTTTAAAATCAGTAGACTGTGGTTGCCCTTGAAAATTTTTGATCAAGATGATTTTTCTAGCAAGAACCATTTTTTTTTACTCTTGTGTACGGAATTTAGAGTACTAGTCTGTTAAAGACTTTTTGTGAAAATGACTTACATGGTATTAAGTTAGTATATACATTAGATAAAGAAAATATATTGACAATGATTTTACGAAAAATTAGACTTTGAAAATATTTTTACTGCGTATATAAAATTTGGCAAATTTTACTTTATGATTTTCTTCTTTTCGTTATATTATAGTCGTAAATAAATTAAGATTACGATTTTTAAAAATTAACTCTTCTTTTATTATACTCTTTATACATTGCATTATAAAAAAATCTTATGTGCTTTCAGTCAGCTTTTAACTAAACCCATTAATATTAGAAACATTTTTAACTGAATCTTAGCCTTGAGAGTAGGATTTTAAGTCCTAGAGTTAGGACTAGAGTTTTAAATTTAAAAATCAGACAAAATTTAAAAATTGGAACCAAGATTCAATCATTTTGGTGCTAAGACGCTAACAGTTTTAGACCTTTATTTTTTCTTAGCCCTCTTGAAAATTTTAAAATTCTTTTTCTGTATTTGAAGATTCTTTACAATCCCCACTATCTGGTAATATCCGGTTATTTTTAAATACGGACAATCTGAATATTTTCTACAATCTATTAACATTAGTAAATATAACTATATAATTTCAAGGTATTGCTTCTTCATCGTGATATTCAAGAATTTTAAACACAGCTGGCTTTTAACTGCGCGACAAAAATTTCAAATTATTCCAATACATTTTAATGATAACACAGCAAATCGTGAGGTGTTAAAATAACACCGGAATGGATTAAAATAATCTGCAACAGTTTAATCACTCTAGGATTAAATTAACACCAGAGAGAATTAAAATAATCCATTTTGGTGATATTTTTTACTATGAATGAAATTTTATTTTAAATCAAACACAAAGTCAGCGATTAGTCAAAATTCGACGAATATAGCTTCACCAGGGACTTCACTAACTTACAAACTTAATTACTAATTAACTTACTAACTAACTTACAAAATTAATTACTAATTTATTAACTAATTAACTTACTAACTTATTAACTTATTAACTTATTAACTTATTAACTTATTAACTTATTAACTTATTAACTTATTAACTTATTAACTTATTAACTTATTAACTTATTAACTTATTAACTTATTAACTTATTAACTTATTAATTTATTAACTTACTAACTTACTAACTTACAAACTTAATTACTAATTAACTTAGTGACTTACTTACTAACTTTCTAATTTATTAACTTATTAACTTATTAACTTACTAACTTACTATTTAACTTACTATTTTACTTACTAACTTGCTAACTTACTAATTTAATAACTTATTAACGTATTAACTTACAAACTTACTAATTATTAACTTAAAAACGTATTAACTTACTAATGTACTAACTTACTAATTAATTAATTTATTAACTTATTAACTTATTAACTGAGTAACTAACTAACTTAGTAACTTACTTACTAACTTACTTACTAACTTTCAAATTTATTAACTTATTAATTTACTAACTTAATTACTAAACTTGCAAATTTAATTACTAATTAACTTATTAACTTATTAACTTATTAACTTATTAATTTATTAACTTACTAACTTACTAACTTACAAACTTAATTACTAATTAACTTAGTGACTTACTTTACTAACTTTCTAATTTATTAACTTATTAACTTACTAACTTACTATTTAACTTACTATTTTACTTACTAACTTGCTAACTTACTAATTTAATAACTTATTAACGTATTAACTTACAAACTTACTAATGTACTAACTTACTAATTAATTAATTTATTAACTTATTAACTTATTAACTGAGTAACTACCTAACTTAGTAACTTAATTACAAAACTTACAAACTTAATTACTAATTAATTTACTAACTTATTAACTTACAAAGTTACTAACTTACTAACTAACTTACGAAGTGAATTATTATTTAATTTACTAATTTATTAATTTAATAACTTACTTACTAACTTACTTACTAACTTTTAAATTTATTAACTTATTAATTTACTAATTTATTTGCTTATTAATTTACTAACTTAATTACTAAACTTGCAAATTTAATTACTAATTAACTTACTAATTTGCTAACTTATTAACGTATTAACTTACTAATTTATTAACTTATTTACGTATTAACTTACTAATTAATTTATTAACTTATTAACGTATTAACTAACTAATTTACTAACTTACTAATTAATTAATTTATTAACTTACTAAGTTACTAACTAACTTACGCACTTAATTACTAACTAACATACTAATTTTGTATCTAATTAACCTATTAACTTAATTCCTAAACTTATAAACTTAATTACTAATTAACTCACTAACTTATAAACTTTTTAACTTACTAAGTTGCGAACTTACTAATTAACTTACTAACATACTAACTTACTAACATTACTAACTTACTAACATACTAAGTTAATTAATTAGTTATCGTTGACGTGGTTTTGATTTAAAGTAAAATTTCAGTCCTAATAAAAAATAACACCAAAATGGATTATTGTAATCGTGTTTGGTGTTAATTTAATTTTCAACGCTTTTTAATACCCCACAATTTACTGTGAAACCTATATATATTTAATGATGTTTTAATTTATATGTAACTTCTATTTATAACTAAATTTTCTTTTTCACTATTTTAATTAAATGTATCCCAAAAATAAAAAAAAACCCAAAAAAGAAAAGTCTCTGGAAAAGTAGATTTTTAAAAATTTTTATTTCAAGTAGGATAGTAATTGATAGGAATTGTATAGGAATTTATAAAAAATTTAGAGGAAGCATTTTTATAATCTAAAATTAAACACACATTTTTATTATGTTAAGAAAAAGGTGTTCTAAAATGTATTTTAATTTATAATTTCGTCATTTTAAGGTGTTTATTATATTATTATTATATTTCAAGTGTACACAATATTGTCGTCAATGACCTTTGTAACTCTAAGGTCATAATTATAGATTCAAGTTTGATATACTCAATTTTTGTTGACATTTGCCCGATTTGCAGGTGTATATAAAGATCGAAATTCATGTCATATGATTATCGTAAAAAATTGTCAAGATATTGTTAATAATTCTTTTTGCCCTGTGGAAGAAACTAGTGTTTAAAAATGAAAATCTTCATTTTCTGTTTTCTTCTGTTTGTAATCGTCTCGATCGAAGCCCGTGTTTACAATGGTGGCAGACTAGATTTTAATGAAGATAATTTCATAGATCCACGACAGAAATACGCCTCAGAATTTGTGGCTAGAAGTAAGTATAAAACTTCTTCTTTATTGCAATTTTAAAATTAATTTTATTTAAATTTTTAATTTTAAAAATGATACAAAAATTAGTTGGATTTAAGAAAAAAAAACATGGTTGAGCTATGTATAAGTACTTTAAGACTTTGCTTTACCTGCTGTATATATCTATCAGTCATGTTTATTAATCCAAAATGTATGAATAAATGAAATTTATATTCTTTTTTTCAAATTAATTTCAGGTCAATGTCAGGAGGACATTAAAATTGTAAAGTACACCGGAAAATGCATCGGAATTCCGGATCGAACTGTTCTTAAATCAGGCCCAGTGGATTGTAAGGGGACAGCTTATGAATGCATACCCTCAGCATGGTAAAATATTACGGATGGAGAATAAAGAAACTCAAGTATTTACATATAAGAATCTAGAATAAAAATTTGTATTTTTTAAAAATGTTAATATTAAATATTAAATATACAATTATTTTAATACTACTGTTTAGTTGTTTTTGTAATTTATAAATTATAATGTAATTTGTTTGTAAAATACATTTATATTTTACCAAATTAAATAACTTCCTGATTTTCAGACAAAATTTTTACTTTTTCCTGACTCTAAAGAACTTTATTTTTAAATGAATATTTAATTATTATTATTATATTTCATAGAAATTAAGATTTTCAAAAATTTTGAATTCAATAACATATAAGAATATTATTATAAAACATGAAGATATCGATTTAACTAACTTACTAACTTACAAACAAATTACTCATTAAATTACTAACTAACTTACTTTCTAACATATTTATACTTACTAACTTACTGACTAACTAACAAACTTAATTACTAACTAACTTACTAACTTACGAACTAACTTACTAACTTACTAACTGACTAACTTACGAACTAACTTACTAATGAACTTACTAACTTATTAATTAACTTACAAACTTACAAACTTAATTACTAATTAACTTACAAACTTACAAACTTAATTACTAATTAACTTACTAACTTACTTAATTTAATTTATTTTAATTTAATTAATAACTAACTTACTTACTTAGTAACTAACTTATTAACTTAATTACTAATTAACTTACTAACTTACATTCTAACTTACTAAATTACTAACTAACTTACTAGTTAACTTAATGACTTACTTACTAACTTTCTAATTTATTAACTTATTAACTTACTAACTTACTAACTTACGAACTACTTTACTAATGAACTTAGAAACTTACAAATTTAATTACTAATTAACTTACTAACTTACTAACAAACTTACTATCTAACTTACTAACTTAATTACTAATCAACATACTAACTATACCTTTCTAAGTTAGCTAGTAACTAAGGTATTAAGTTAATTAGTAATTAAGTTTGTAAGTTAGTTTGTCAGTTAATTAGTTAGTAACTTAGGAAGTGCGTTTGAAAATTAGTAGGCTACTTAGTAAATTACAAATATTTTTAAACTGTTAAGTAGAGATTCTGCTTACTGAAATCTTAACTTTATAAATATAAATAGTTAGTGATAAAGAGGTCAATATCTTTTAAACACGTGTTTTTTCCGCCCTTTTTATTATTTTGATAAAAAGTTGAAAAAATTTGTTGACACAACTGTAATTTATTCTATCCAATCAATTAAGTCGCAAATTTTATAAATAAATAGCGGATTCGTTTACTAAAAATAAATCAGTAAAGAGTTTCAAAAATTATTTTTTATAGAAAGTAACTAATTTGTTATTGTAACTAATTTTTTTAATTATAAAACT